GCTCGGCAGGCCCGGGCCGGGGGAGAGCAGCCGCGGGATCGCGTCCCAGCAGCTCGACGTTGGTGACGGCCTTGCCGATGGTGAACCAGTCCGTGATCTGCTCCAGCGTCAGCTTCCGCAACATGATGATAGTGGCGGTGGCGCCTCGCACCACCAGCCCCAACCACGTGCTGGCCCCAGCCGCCGCCCGCCCAGCGCTCCCCACTGCGCATGCGCCCAGCCTCGTTCCCGCCTCTGCTGCAATGCATGTGCCGCGTTCCCGCTACCTAGGTCACGTGCCCGCCACCTCCCACCGCGCATGCGCCAGGCCTCCCCTTCCGCTCGTAGTGCGCCGGACAGCTTTGCACTTGCTCCTGTGTAGAAACACCCTTCACGGGCGGCACATCCCTGAGTCTGTCTTTTCCCCATACCCCCTCTCCGGAGCGGCCGCCCGTCCGCCATTGCCCCGCCTCCTTTCCCGGGGGAGGGCGCTAGGGACGCACGGGTTAACGTGCCTTGAGCCAAAGGGCTGAGGGAGGGAGTGTGGGGCGGGGCCAGACGGTAGAGGACGCTGTGATGGGCGGGGCGCGGCGGCGGACACTCTAGCCCTTCCTCTCGCTGGCGCCGCATTTTCCGGCACGACGCGCGCCAGCGCCATTTCCGGCTTTCTGACCTTCGTCGGCGCTCGCCGAGGTGGGTCCTGGCCCCAGTCAGCGGCTGGTGGTGGGGGACGGGAGGGAGTCGCTTTCTGGCGCCGGGTGACGAGGGAGTCGCCCCGCGGCGCTGTTTTGGGGCAGGCCGCATCCCGCAGTTCCCGGGCCTCCGCTCTCCCCGCCAGCTGCATCCCGGCAAAGGCGTCCCCAACTCCTCCCGGGGCCGCAGGGCGCAGCGGGTGGGGGGACGCGGCCTGCTCTGCTCCCACAATGGGGTAGGGTGGGGCTGGTGCCTGGGGGCCTCGCCCCTTTCCCCCGCCCGGCACTTTATGCCCTTTTATGAATTCCTGTGTCTGGGCTGCCCCTCAGGATGCAGCAGGGCTAGAGAAGGGCGAGCTATGGAGGGGCTGCCCTGCGAGGAGAGACAGAAGAGGCGATGCCACTCAGTTCAGATTGTGGCTTGGTACCACCAGGTTGGGTACCAACAGCACTTTGCCCGGCACTGCACCTCGGGGCGCACGGTAGGGAAGGCACCGAGCTGCGCTGCCATAGGGGAATCGAGCCCAGTGGCCACCTGTGGCATTCCAGCACCTTACGAGTCAAGGTTGTTTTTGGTATTCTTACCAAAAATGTTGCCAACCCCTTGGTTTAGAAGGAGGCGCTTAGTGGGGCAGAGGGGGACGGGACCTGAGAGAGGTTTACAAAATAGTAAGTTGATAGAGACTTGTTATTGAGTCTTGTGTAACAAGAACTGGGGGTCACCAAATGAAAAGAGCAGGTAGTCAGTTTAAAACTAACACGGGGAAGTTTTTTCACACCAGGTGTCATTCAGGGGTGGAACTTGTGCCCACTGGAGGCAGTGGAGGAAGCTGACAGTTTGGCCGGATTCAAACAAGGACTGGACACATTCCTGGAGGAAAGGGGCATCAGTAGCGATTGAACATAGGGGAGAGAGACAGCCTCTGAATCAGAGCTTCATAGACCTTAAATCTGGGGCAGGTGAAGTCTGGCCTGTGGGCCAGATCCTGCTGGCAGCAGACTCTGTTTCCAAGCAGCCCCTGCCCATGTGGCTGGGGCTGGTTTCCACGGAGACCCCAGTAACAGCTGTATTGTGATAGCACAGGGCAGGGGTTTCTGGGGAAACCAGCTTCACCAGCTTTGGCAGGCAATAGCAACAGCGCCAGCGTCCTGGTGAGGGAGCTGCTGAGGGCATCTGTGCTGCAGGCAGGAGCAGGCAAGAGCAATGGTGTCACTGGGAGGAGGGGCTATGGGGAATCTTGGAGTTGCTATAATGCCCCCTGGCACTGTCCCTGCAACCATGGTGCCCAGCAAGGCATGGAGCTGCTCCAGAGCCCAGCTGGGATCTTGTGGCACTGATAGCATGGTTTAAAGCCAAGGCAGAGCCATGATCAGCTGCCTGCACACACCTGCCTGGAGCATGTGAGCTGCAGATCATGGATCTGCCTTGGCTCTGGTCCACACTTTCACAGCCGCAGGATCCCAGCTGGCCTCTGGAGCAGCTGTGCACTCTGCCAGTGCTGCTGGGGCTGGTCTCTGGAAACCCTGGCCTTATGCTATCACAGTGTGGCTGCTGCTGGGGTCCCCATGGAAACCAGCCCCAGCCACATGGGCAGGGGCTGCTGGGAAATGGAGTCTGACCACCAGCTGGATCTGCCACTTTGCCTATCTGTGCCTTGAATGGTGGCAGCTGCAGGTGAGGGAGGAACAGTGGGGGTGGGGAACCCTGGACCAGACCCAGTTCTCACTTTACCTTTCAGCATCTACTTTCTGCCCCTGTGACAGGAGACTGGGCCAGATGGACCTATGGTCTGACCATAGTAAATGGCAATTCTTATGATGGTGCTTAACCACGCTCCATGGAGCATCAGGGGAAGGTCTGTTTAAATAGCTCAAACTATGCCATTTTTGTTGGCTTTTCAAAGCTCTGGTTTAATGAGCGTAAAACCTATTGATGCATATATTAACCCCCACCACCACATATT